TCGCCAACCCGTTCGACGACGAATACCGGATCGATCCTGTGGAGCTCTTCGACAACGCCAACAACGCCAATAACGTCGCACCCCACCACGATGATTCCATGTCAGACATTTACAGCGCCACGACCCGCGACGCCGACGACGCGCCCCCCAATCTCTCTGCCGCCCTCTCCACCGCCACGCCCGACCTCGTGGATGTGACCACTGACAACGACACGGCCACAGAGCGCTCGACCACGCTCGACCGCGAGCTCGACCAGGACGAGTACATGACGGCAGGCCAGGACCAGGATGACCATAGTGCCTCCGAGGCGTACGCTTCCATCCAGGCTTGGGCCCAGGGTTCGAGCTCCAACTTTTACTCGCCCCTGCCCATGTCGCCCGCCGCTCCCATGTCCGAGCCCGAGATGGTCAGCGAGGGTGTTTTGACGCCGACGGATTCGGTTTCTCTGGCCGGCTCCGGCGAGGACATTGCCAACGACGCCGTGTCTTCCAAGGGTGGCGACAACGGCCGTCCGTACGACGTGCTTAGCGAGAGTGAGGGTATGATGACACCAGCGAGTTGGTCCGAAGTCGGCAGCGTCGTCAGCGAGAACGACGTGCAGCACAACGAGCCTCTACGCGCATGAGTTAGCGATCACGCTCGTCGTACTCGTGCCTGCTTCTCTGAGGAGTACAGGCCCGTCTCATGAAAGACGGACAGTCGGGCGATCAGCAAAACGGGCATTTCAGGTGGAATACGGTGGAATTGGGCTAGGCGTTTGGGTTTCTATGGTTTAGGTATCGGTCTCGGTCCTCGGTAGCGGTGTATTCAGAGTTTCGTTCGTCGGTACAAACACTACAAGACATTGTATTCCTTTCTCGTTGTGTTTCCATCCAACGTGAGTAGGTCAATCTCGATGACGCACATACAATACACGCATATACAACGCTTGCTTTCTAAATAATCGGCAACTCTACTTACCTACCTACCTACCACCGTCCTGTCCATCTGGCTTGCCCTCCACCGCCGCGGCGCCGTCCCTCAGCCCCAACCTCACATCATCATCCGAAATGTCGTCCTTGTTGACAATGACCGTCTCATCGTCCCTCACCTTGTCAGCGTAGTCCCCCCACAGCTGCTCGACGGGCCGGCCGAGCAGCTCGGTCCAGAAGGCCTTTTCGTGGTACTGGGCTGTCCTCAGCTTCTCGTTGAGGCGGCGGACGGTGCCGTCGCCGAAGCGGTGCTCGAGGTAGTCGAGAAAGTAGGCCGTGTGCTGGTAGCCGCCGTCCCAGCGGCCGTCCGTCTCGCGCTTCCAGTGGGGCGGCGACAGGCGGCAGCGCAGGCGGACCCAGTCGGCGACGCCCTCGATGAGGCCGCCGGGACAGGTGCCGCGGGCGTTCCACTGGTAGCAGTGGACGAGCTCGTGGGTCAGGACGCCCGTGATCTCGGCGGTGCGGCGGTCGGCGGGGATGCCGGCGATGTAGGACAGCGAGAAGTGGATCTCCTTGTGGTCGGCGTCGAGGTCGGAGCCCGTCGTGTAGGCCACGCCGGGCATGGCGCGCAGGATGACGGTCACGGAGCGGGTCGGGGGCGTCGTCGTGTCCGGGGTTGAGGGCGTGCTGTAGAGGAGGCGCAGGACGTTGGCGATGGCATCTTGGAGGAGGGTCGAGGCTGTCGTCGTCGCGAGGAAGGCGGTTGCGCCGGCGTGGTTGAGGTCGCGGATCTCGAGGCGTAGCTTGGGGGTGGGAAAGGGGTTTTTGGAGGCGGAGGCGGCGGTGGAGGCGGCGGCGGTGGCGGCCATGGCGGTTGATGAATGTGAGGGAGGCTCAGACTGAGACGGAGATGCAGACGAGGATGGTGTTGAAGACGACTCGTCTGTTTCAGGACGCGGGACGGGGGTGGAGAGGGGCGCAAACGGGTTTGAGATGGCTGGTGACTGCGAAGCGAGCGACATGACGGGTTCGAGGATGGAGGTTGAGAGTCGCCGCGGATTCGGGGTCGTCTGGGATCGAGGTTCCATCGGATGGCACGATGAGGCTTGGAGACCGAGGCTGGTGAGCTGAGATGGGGCCGATTTAGTGGTGGTCACTACAACTGGCGTTTCGAGGTGTGGCACAGCAAGCTACCTAGGTACTGTACGAACAGATCCGCTGAACCCGCTAGAATCTCGTTCTGATGGACGATGTGAGGGATGGGCATGAGAGAACCGACAGCAGTGCTTCGTGAAAGATGGAAGACTAAAAAAGAGGAACACGAGCTTCCGTCTCGAATCCGCCCCCCTCATCTCCTGTCTGCCTCCCCTCTCTCGTCTCTCTCTCTCTCTCTCTCCCTGCTGCAGCAGTGCAGCATAAGACCCTGCTGCTGCCCAGAGCTCTGGACTGCTCGCGTCCCTGACTAACTACCTACCTGTGGCCCGGTTCGAGGTCCCTCAGTGGAGGTGGAGGGGCAAAAGTGGCTGATGCAGCGCCTCCAGCTGCGCGCTAGCCTCTCCTCCCCCGCACCTGCCACTGACCTGCTTGCCTGGAGCTTGCTGCAGCTACCAGTTCTGGTAGCGGGTACTGTAGTAGGTGCAGGTGGAGAGGTACAGGCGGCCAAAGCTCCACTCAAAGATCGATAAGATAGGATCAGCCAATCACCCGGTAGCCCCTGCCCCGATCACCATGGGCACGGAGCAACACGAGGGAGGGGCGGCCGGGACCCCCTTTGTTTTCCATTCGACGTCGTTTGCTGTCGCCTGCTGCGTTGCAAGCAAACAACAGACCCCAGCGAGAGGTTAATAAACGTCACTTGCAGTCAACAACAGCTGCCCCGCCATCTCGCTACGTTCCTGAAGCACACACAGAGTCGCGTTCGTGATTGCCCTATCCAATTCTTCAGTATTCTCTCTTTTCGCATTGCATTGCATCAACCAAACCCCTCGGCCACTGGTGAGTCCATGCACAAGGCGACCCCCATCGTCCATATACCCATCCCAGACAACACATTCCTATGCCTGCAACATATCCTCGACGCGCATGTGCCAACCCTGCCTAGGTCCTGCCACTGACATTGACTTCCCACCGACAGGACCCCTCCATCGCATACACGCTCCAAACCTCTCTCCACCCCCTCCCTCGTCCATCTCAAACCGGGGCATGGCCGAAAAGATATCCGACGACCAGGTCGAGAACCTGCTCCGAGTGCTTCGCTCCGATGCTGCCGTCGACGCCAAGGTCAACCATGTGACGGCGCTCAAGTCCGGCATCAAGCAGCATAATGTCCCCGATCACCTCGTGCCTTCCATCTTTGACGCTCTGCGTCTGGCCTCGTCCTCCCAACATGCCGTACTCGTCAATGCTGGCTTCACCTCGCTCAACCACTTGCTGACGCGCCTCTCGCGCCAGGAGCCCAAGTTCCTCAACAGGGAGCTCAAGGCCACCCTGCCCCTCGTCATCGACAAGCTCGGCGACCAGAAGGAGAAGTTTAGGACACTCGCCGCCCAGGCGCTGACCACCCTGTACGACGTCGCGCCCGCCGACGTCGAGCGCATGGTAAGGAACATTGCCATGGCGGGCAAGAACCCGCGCGCCAAGGAGGCCGGCATGCAGTGGGTGCTGCAGATGCATCAGGAACAGGGTCTGCAGTTTCGCGGCTATGTGCCGACCTTGATGGATCTGCTCGAGGACGCCGACGGCATGGTGCGCGATGTTGCCAAGGCCACCGTCATTGAGCTGTTCCGGTATGTCTGCCTTTACCCCCTACATACACCACGAGCCTCTGGTTCTCGCTCCCTGTCGCTAATCCTTGCCATGCTCAGCAACTCGCCCAATGCCGCCAAGTCCGATCTCAAGCGCCAGCTGAAGAACTTCAAGGTCCGCCCGGCCATCGAACAAGCCATCGTCAAGGAGCTGCTCCCCAGCGGCACCCGCCCCGAGACGCCCTCCGACATGGCACCCCCGAGTCGACCGACTCTCGCCGCCAGCACTTCGGCCCTGCCGAGCGAGCGACCCATCACTCCGGCGCCGGACGTCCGGACTGACAAGGCGGAGCCGTCCTACGTGAACACGCAACGCGAGTTAGAAGATATACTTCGGGACATGCACCTGCACTTTGAGGGCAGGGAGTCGGAGCAAAATTGGCTGAAGAGAGAGGAGAGCGTCAAGAAGCTACGCCGGCTGATCGCAGGAAACGTGGCGCAGGATTTCCGGGAGCCCTTCCTCCTCGGGCTCAAGGCCCTCCTCGACGGCATCATCAAGGCCGTCAACTCGCTACGCACAAGTCTGTCCAAGGAAGGCTGCGCCCTCGTCCAGGACATTGCCCACGCTTTCGGACCGGGCATGGACCCGCTGGTCGAGCTGCTCATGCAGACCTTCATCAAGCTCTGCGCCGCCACCAAGAAGATTGCCTCGCAACAGGCCAACGTGACCGTCGACGCCATCGTCGGTAGGGCCTCCTACAACAGTCGAATCATGCAGCACGTCTGGGGCGCATGCCAGGACAAGAACGTGCAGCCGCGCACGTACGCTGCGGACTGGCTGCAGACCATCCTCAAGAAGGAAGGCCACCACAAGAGCCACATTGAGCATAACGGCGGTGTGGAGCTCTTTGAGAAGTGCATCAAGAAGGGCCTCAACGACTCAAACCCCGGCGTGCGAGAGAAGATGCGCGGCACCTACTGGGCCTTTGCGACTTATTGGCCTGCCAGGGCAGAAGTGTGAGTGGCAACGCAAGGCCGATCAACGGTTGCACAGACATAACTGACAGGCGACAGCATCATGGAGAACCTCGACGCGACGGCGCAAAAGCTGCTCAACAAGGACTCGCACAATCCCGGTGCGGCAAAGAAGGTCGAGGAAGGTCCTATTCGACCCGGTATGGGCCTGTCTAGGAGCACCATGGCCACCTCGTCAAAACCTAGTCTAAGAGAAGCCATGTTGGCACAGAAGAAGGCCATGTCTGGCCGAAACATGCCCGCAAGACCAGGATCAGCCATGGCACACATTTCACCAGCGAGGACAGTCTCGAGCAGCTCCAACGCGCCCCCCGCTGCAGCCGCTACATCAGCGGCGACGACACGTCCTCGTCCCGAGTCCACCGTATCTGGTGGTATGTCTGTGAGACCCATGCGGCCAACAAAGAAGCGCCCCGAACAACCCCAGCGTCCCGCCACTGCTGGCCCTTATTCGATTCGGACACATGAAGGCTCGTCGGCCGAGGCCTCGAGCCCGCAAAGCCTCAAGTCGAGAACGAACACACCAAAGGCCAAGATTGAGACCCCGCCGAGGCGGGTCCCTCCTAGGACGAGACCCGGGCATGCGTCTCATGTTAGTGAATCGAGCCTGCCATCTCCCACAGCTAAGCCAACTGCGATGAAGACGACCGCCTCGCCACGGGTTAGCCCCGCGAAGCCTCAACCCTCGCCGAGGGCGAGCCCGGCGAAGCCAGCGCACGCGCCCATCACACTTGCAAGCAGCCCGTCCAAAGCCAATGAAGAGCTGACTTTGCTTGTCCCGAGCGTCGAAAGCCTGAGCCTGAAGGACCGGTCGCCCGCGCCCGAGGAACAAGAGCAGCCGTCCGAAGTCGAGCCCGCAAATCCAGAGCCGACTGTGCCCGTCGAGTCCGCGGTGCCCGAGGTTCCGACGAGCCCGCGGGTGGCGCCAGCAAGCCCGGAGATTGTGGTGCAGAGCCCTCAGAAGGAGATGAGCACGACACCATCGAAGACGCTCAAGGTCTTTGAGGATCCCTTCACCGAAGAGGACCAGACGACTCCCAAGCCCGTCATCGTCATCCCCGTGCTCGAAGATAGGCCCGTCAATGAGAATGCCGGCGTGCCGGCGATCGGACATTTGAACCCCACCGGCCTGCCCGAGTCCCCCGATAAGTCGCGTCAGAACACAAAACTCTTGGAGAGCGGCATCACGCGGGTCAAGGCGCGTTCCCTCGACGTGCACGGCTTCCGCAAGCTGCAGACGCTGATTCGCGAGAACCGGGCCGTCTTCACGGACGAGAAGTTTGACGCGCTCCTCACCGGTCTCTTTGAGTTCCTCGAGGCGCCGCTCGAGACGCTCGCACCGGAGAAGGTGCAGGACGTCAAGGCGCAGATTCTTGCGACGGTTAAGCTTCTCCTCAAGAAGGAGAGGGACCGCTTCCAGCCGCACGTGGCGCGTGGTCTCGAGGCGCTCGTGGCCTCGCGCAGCGCCTACGACTCGCGGACGCACATTGTCAGCGGTCTAGAGCTGCTGGCGGCCGAACTGGTGACCATTGGCGATGCGCCTGAGATGGTCATGACCATGACGAAGCTTCTGGGTGACAGCGCCGACTCGACGACGGGGGGCTGCCGGTGCCTCAGCATGGGGCTCCACATCCTCAAGGAGGTTCTCGAGAAGCGAGAAGGCTACGCGCCATCCGAGGGCGAGCTCGGGCAGTTGGCGGGGCTCGCGGGACGGTGTCTCGAGTCGGCCGAGTCCGGGGTCCGCATGGGCGCCGTGCAGCTGTGCGTGGCGCTGCAGTCGCGCATCGGCGACGGGCCGTTCTGGGAGGCCGTCAAGACGACCAAGGACGATCCGAAGAACCTCATCACGTACTACATTGCCAAGCGCCAGCGCGAGCAGAACGGCGTCAGCACGTGAAGCCGTCCGTCCTCCAGGTAGGACCAGGACCGGGACCAGGAGCCTCAATTATCTGCTGTTTTGTTCAAAAGGCACTTTGATCAGGCGTTGGGACGAGCGACAGGAAAGGAAACAATGGGCGACTTTTGTTGTTGTTTTGGGGCCGTATATACGGATGGCCGAGGGGGCTGGCCGGTTGGTTGGCTTTCAACTGCCCCGTCCCGTGGCCTTGCTCGATCGCTTTCTTCGTTTGTTCTCCCTACTTCGATACTGTCTTCTTCTTCTTCGTCTTCTCCCTCTTTTTTTTTCTGCTTTAACTTTGTAATCCTCGACTTGCATAGAGCTTTGTAATAATAGCAGTCGGGAGAGTGCCGTTGCATTATCTAGTCGCTGCTGTTGGTAAATTGGCTGACAACCAAGTCAAAAGGAGACCTGGGAAAAGGGCCACTCATGCCACTTGTACGTCACTCAAAGGGGGGGGACAAAGTAGGAGGCTGAACCGACCTGTCATTTATGCACACTAAATGTCTCCCGCCTATAGGCCGTCCACGTTCGGGGATGGACCAAGGAACGGACTATTGATGCCACGAGGCGCCCGACTCAAAGGTCATTTCGCAACGGTCAGGTGCCCCGAGTCCGTCACAATAAGGGGGGCCACACAGCATCGAAAGGCAAAGACCCATTCCAAAGGTACCCTCCCGAGGGCCCCAATTGGGAGAGAGACTCATGGGCCAAATGTCGCCGTCGATAGAAGGCCATTCTTGAGATTGTCGGCCCCCTGACGCGACCCCACCCCCCGTTGGCCCTATTTCCGCGCCCATCCGTCAAGGTCGTACTTCCCGATGATCCCGGCCGCGGCTTCCGATCAGCGACGCAATCAAGGCTGACATGCTTTGAACTATGCCTCTTTGTTGACCCTAATTCTTCGAGAGCGAAAGCGACTTGGTGGGGGGGAAGGGAGTGGCTTGCACGCACACGCGCGCACCCGTTGTCGGCTTCTTAAGCAAAGCCGCCCGCCGTCATGCTGCACTGCGATTTTTCTCTGTGCCTGAGATGAGGTTGTCGTGTGTTGTCGTGTGTGACGCGATCGAACATTCGTCCAGGCGAACGAAACGGTCGACTTTTGTATCTGCGCCTTCATGGTCGCCACTTCGCCGCTTGCACTGCTCCGGCGCTCGTCGCCGGCCTGCGGCGAAAAGGGCCCCCGCGGCCCCGGCGCCGAGCACGCCGCCTCTGCCGCCCCCTACCACGGCCTGGAGAAGAGCCATCATCACCACCTTGATGGACAGCATAGCCGCGGCCGGTACGGCTTTCTCGCCGAGCGAAAAGCGTCCGAGACAGGCCTCCAGCCGCGTCTCCTCCGCGCCGCCGACGTCCCGGGCTGGTATGCCGCCAATGGCCACATTCTCACAGGCTACCGCGCGGTGCGGCCCTCGACGGCCGCCTGCATCGCGAGCCTGACGTCGCTGCACAATGAAACGGCCAACATCTGGAGCCATCTGGTGCCCGCCCTCGTCGCCCTGGCTGGGAACTACCTCGTCTGGGCCTATTTCGACACACGGTTCCCCGACGCGTCATGGCCCGACAGAGCCGTCTTCCACGTCTTTCTGACGGGCAGTGTCGTTTGTTTCGGCGTCTCCGCCGCGTACCATGCCATGTTGTGCCACTCGCAGGCCATGCATGATTTGTGGCTGCGCATGGACTATCTGGCGATAGTCGTGCAGATCTTGGGAAGTTTCCTCTCCGGCATCTACATGGGCTTCTACTGCGAAACCCGTCTGAGAGGCGTGTACTGGACCATGGTACGTCATCCTGTCTCTCGGCCTGTCCGTTCGGTTCGCAGGACGCATTGTTTTGACAGCGGCGTGAACGCGTACGTAGATTGGCATCCTGAGCCTCCTGACCTGCATCGTTGTGCTTCATCCACGCCTGCAGAGCAAAGAGCACCGCATCCTTCGCCTCGGCACATTTGTCGCAACAGGCCTGTCGGGGTTCGCGCCCATCATACACGCTGCCACCATGTTTCCCTACGCGCAGCTGGACAAGCAGGCAGGCATCCGCTATTATTATCTTGAAGGTGTCTTCCTCCTCGTCGGCGCCTATGCCTATGCTGTGAGTTTCCCCCCCAAGCCCCGTACGGAATAAACACACACACATACACGCACAAACAGTGCAGTAAATGACGGCGGGACTGACCAACGGGCTCCATATAGATTCACTTTCCAGAAAAGTGGCACCCTGTCAAGTTTGACATCTGGGGCGCTTCTCACCAGATCTTCCACTGTGCTGTGGTGCTTGCTGCAGTGGCTCACTTTGACGGTCTCTGGTCCGCTTATACTTATAATTACGACAACCCGCGGTGTTCGTGAGGATACCCATGCTGCAGGTGGTTTGCGGCTCGGAATGTGCCGTGGCTGGGGATAGCCTTGATGATAATGACCAAACGATACCCTGAAGTGGTGTGATGAATGGTAGTAGTAATGCTGAGCTCGTGTTGTTCCGTGTATTGCACCTGCGAATCGTGACATCAATAGTACGAAAGATATCAGGTAGCATATGTACTGCGCGTCTCCTTGTTGCCGACCGATCCTGGTGTTTGAGTGCTTGCAGCATGGCTACAGTTCTCGAAAAATACACGCAGGG